AAAAGTTCTCATTACTTTTGACTCAACCTATTATATAGGCCATTTTAGCACTCTAAAAAGTTTTACGAATACTTTCTAAGCATGTGTGGCTGTTGCTGGGAAAACATAAAAAGACCAACTTTCAAAGGATCCCAATACCATTCATTTGACTGTTCAACCGCATTGTGATACTGTTTATAGACAACACTTTAACACTTTATTTCTGATTATGCAGATTCAAAGCTTGGTTAGGAATGCTAAACAAATCAATAAATTTACTATAACAATTGATTGCGACAGTCCTGGCATGCACTTGCAGTAAATTTACATCAATATGGGATTTTTTGATTTGCAGTAAAAATTAAGCTCTCTTGCCATATATGGCTGATTTCTGGAATTCGAAGTCTTAAGGCCATTCACTTGCACATTCGGCTCTTTCAATTTACCAATGTAACCAACAGGCAATGATATGACATAGGAGGATATAAAATCAAGTACAATTGTGTAACTATTCTAATATTCCTCGTAATAATCAAGTCGTTCCAGCACAAGCTGGCCATTCGAGCAGCCGAACCCAAGATATGCACTATGTGGAGAAAACTCGATGCACTCAACATTGGTCAACTAAAATAAAGAATTAGATACCGTTAGAAGAGTGGGTCAGTAATTGGAATATGTAAGAAAAACCTTTTCATGTGTTTTGGGATAGTTGGTGAATACGCCGCCGCTCGCAGTGTGTAGGAGCTTGACTTGGTTTTTCTAGAATTAGTTTAGCTTGGTATCGGACGATGTTAGTAACCTATGTTGATCGTTACCTTTACTCTGCTGCTAAAAGCCATTATCTGCGAATCGTGGCTGAAAGAGATAGAATCGCAGGATGTGGTCAGATTTGTAGCAGTCAACAATGGCTTGGCGTGATTATCGTTACGAACATCGGCCACATCATAAACATTAACGATACCAGTGTTCGATCTATAATATTTTTTTCATCACTCAAGAGAGTCATTCTTTCCGTTCATACTCACCCGCAGGCGACTTTCGTGCCATTACTGCTCAGCCTGATTTTTGTTCCACGTACTGCTCCTTCATCGCAAAACATATGTTGAAAGCCATGGACATTCCAAATAATGACTTCGCCTCTTTCTGAAACTTAATAACATTAAACAAAAATGCGCTATGACAGAGTAACAATTTTAACTGGAACGAGAAGTTCCACTTAAACGCCTTGTAAAAGCAGAAGTAGCCTTGAAGTTTTTCCTCAGCTGAGTTTACCCTTGTTACACATTTTATTTGATGAAATAAT